CACCAGGGCAGCCTTGTCATTTGTTACAATATTGCAGTGCTGCTGAAATGGCTGCTAAAGGTTTTGAACAAATACCCAACACTAGATAACCCAGAGTTCTGACGACGAGGCGCAAGAGCTTGGACTGGAGTTGTCAGAAGAGTGGAAGTAGACAGTGAAATCCCTAAGGCACGTAGAGGAATGGGATGGAAACGGTGTTTCAGGAAGACCTTCTTGGGGTGCGGGGTTTCTGTCTTATCTCAGCAGGATGGGCAGAGGGAGGGAGTTGCATAATCCTGTGCCTGGCTTAGGTGACAGGTTGTTTACTTCATCAGACGTCATGAGAAGTGGTTAGCTGGTCATGTAAGGACAGCTGAGCTCTATTTACTTAGACAAATATAGCTCAGCCTCACCTACCTTTGGGTACCTAGACTGAAATGACAAATGACTAAGGTTTCTGAGCTTTTTCTGACTAATACCCTTAGTTTCTTAGAAAGTGCTCTTAAGTCTCACATTCCCTGCCACCAATGTCCTCTGCCAGGGCATGAAGAGTAATGTGGCAGTGAGCATACAGATGAGGGCAGAGAAGTGTCTATTAGGTGTAACTCCTGGTGAAGGTCACTGGCATCTGGGCCAGACAAGGCTTAGTCTGGTAGGTGGTGGTGGTGGAGGTCACGTGCCCAGAAGTGAGGAACAATCATAAGATGACATAGAATGAAGTGTGTAGGCAACCCCTTCAAAAAGCAGGTCAGTGATAGGTCCATAGCCAGAGGCAACTGCAAGGTGAAATGGGGAATCCTTTACAAAAATTAGGTGTAAGCCGGGGTCCATGGCCTTATAACCTGGCGTTTGCAATGGTCCCTGCTGTCACCATCAAACATATAGGGTGCTGATGGCACTAGATCTGTGGTGAAGAATAAAGCTGGGGCCAGGCTGGCATGGCTCAGTATTGAGCAGCAACTTATGAATAGTTTGATTCCCGGTCAGGGCACATGCCCGGGTTGTGGGCTCGATCCCCAGTCAGGGGCGTGCAGGAGGCAGCTGATCAATGATGACTGTCATCATTGATGTTTCTATCTCTCTCTCCCTCTCCCTGCCTCTCTCTGAAATCAATAAAGACTATTTTTTAAAAAAGAATAAAGCTGGGGAAGGATACGATGAAGGAACATCAGCAAGAGCTGGCTCTTAGACACAGGAGGCAGGGGTGGGCCTCTCAGAAGGGTGAGCATTCAGGGCAGAGGGACACACTTGGTGTGGCAGAGCCCT